GGACTTCCAACTCCCAGAATTCCTGAGCTAACATGGCTGGAGGAGGAATTCTGGGAGTTGAAGTCCACAAGTCTTCAAGCTGTCAAGGTTGAAGACCCCTGCTCTCCAATGTCTGGTGGCAAGTACTGTAGTTCCACTATTTAATTGTCCTCATGTAAGGTAAGTTTCTCCTTAATTCCAGGTTGTTTCTCTCCTTGAGTAGTTTCCATCCATTGCTTCTTGTCTGGCCTTCTAGAGCTTTGGAGAATAGCTTGACCCCCTCTTCTTTGGGGCAGCCCCTCAAATATTGGAAGACTGCTATCATGCCACCCCTAGTTCTTCTTTTCATTAAACTAGACGTACCCAGGTCCTGCAACCGTCCTTCTTACGTTTTAGCCTCTAGCCCTTTGCGGCTCTCCTCTGCACTTTTTCCAAAGTCTCAACATCTTTTTTTTTTTTTGTAATGCGGTGACCAAAATTGCAAATGCTGTACAGCTCACCAGCAACAACATATTAACTCCTCCTGCGAAATGAAAATAGTTGCCATCAACTAAAACGTTAAGGGTTACTAATGAGCCGAGTCTTGCACTAGAAGAAGCCATTTCCTCATCTGTCTTTCTAGACTGCAAGATAACAGAGATGATGTGGAGGCTCGACTAGCTAAGAAAAAAACAGCAGGAGATCCTTTAATGAACTTGCAGAAGGAACTGTCCATCCAGAGATTTAAGTAACAGTAAACTAAATCATCATTAAATAGTCCGATCATACGTCCCTTTCCCAGGGGGATATCATCTAACTTTGATCTTTTGTTTGCTGGTTTGTTTCTGGGGTCTTTGGTGCTCTTTTAAGCTTGGTTGTTTTCTTGCAGACATTTCATTACCCAACTAGGTAACACCATCAGTGCTGGGAGGGAGTGGGCTTTGCAGAGAGGAGGGAGGAGGAGGAGGAGGACGACAGCGTTTTTGGGGTCCTTGGTGATCTCTAAGCTTGGTTGTTTTCTTGCAGACATTTCATTACCCAACTAGGTAACATGATCAGTGCTAGAAGGGAGTTGGGTTTGTAGGGAGAAGGAGGAGGGAGGGAGGGAGGAAGGGAAGGAGGAGGAGGAGGAGGAGGAGAATGATGTCTTTGGGGTCCTTTGTACTCTCTAAACTTGGTTGTTGTTTTTTTGCAGACATTTTATTACCGACCTAGGTAACACCATCAGTGCTTAGAAGGGAAGGGGTTTTGCCACACTACAGGCGCTTGTCCTATCAATATTGGTGGGAGTGTTGTTGTTGGTCCCTTGTTTAGGTTGTAGTTGTTTACTCTTAGCTTTTTTGACCAACACAACAGGGCAAGTCATTTGTATATAAACAGAATAAATCTTTCTCCCTTTGATCACTGATGTTGGGCAATGAAATGTCTACAAGTAAACAACCAAGATAAGAGAGGACCAAGGATCCCACAGTCCACCTCCTCCTCCTCCTCCTCCAGCACTGATTATACCGTGTTTCTCATATAATAAGGCCGGGTCTTATTTTTTTTTGAGCCCCGAAAAAATGGCTAGGCCGTCTTTTCGGGGGTGACTTAATTCCCCCCCTTTGCATCTTTGGGCAGGCGGCAACGGCTTGGATGTTGACCTCGGCGTTGGTGGGGCACTTCGTATCGGGGTCAATGCAGACAGCACCATATCCGGGTGTGCAACAAAAGTACTACCTAACGGCAAGCCTCCCCACCATTCCCCCCCATTTCGCATGTTTTAATATAGGCCTTAATTGGGGGGGAGGGGCTTAATTTCATTTCATGCCTATAAAACATGCTGGGACTTCCTATTGGGGGAGGCCGTATTGTTGGAGAAACAGGGTATTACCTAGCTGGGTAATAAATAAATGAAAAAAATAAATAAACCAAGCTCAGAGAGCACCCATATTTCAACGCTAAGCTACAACAAACAATTGTCTTCTATTGGTATTGAAGTATTTATCACATTTGAAAAGTTTCTACAATTGAAAATGAAATAAAAAATAATTACACCTTCAAAGTTGGATCTTTTCCCTCTTGGCTAAAGGGAATATTATTTACAGTATTGTCCGGTGTTGACCTTAATACAGGTTGTCCTCGACTTACGACTACAGTAGCTGATCGTCGGAGTGAAGCGTTTCGCTCACAGCTGATCCTCAGCGCTACCAGTTTGGCTGAACCGGGCCAAACCGGTAGAATACCTCCACCGGTCCGGTCAGACTCCACATTATAATGGGGATCTCCAAGCTCCGAACCTGTCCTTACACAATGCATCCTTCTGCTTTATTCGTTTGCCTTGGGGGGGGGGGGAGAATAATAATAAAATGGGAATTTAATCCCAGCAGTGGGGTCTTCCTTTCCACCCCCACCTCCTTCTCACGCTGTTCCCTGAACTTCAAGGTCTCTTTCTTAAATCTTAATAGTGGAACTCGAACTTTTAGATTGCTGCGCTGGCGATTTTTTGGCAGGGTATGAACAAATTAAAGACGAGCCTCCTCCTTCCTTTCTTCCTTTCTCCCTCCCTCTCTTTTCTGTAATAAAAAGAAAATGGGACCTCGCTGGGCAGCTGCTGTTTCGGGGAGGTGAGATCATCAGTGAAGAAGTTGAAATCTCAGCTTGCTTCCAAACCCTTTGCCTAGGTGTGTTTTTTAAACCATTCCTCCTTCCTTCCTTCCTTCCTTCCTTTCTTCCTTCCTTCCTTCCTTTCTTTCTTTTTCTTCCTTTCCTTCTTTCCTTTCTTTTTCTTTCTTTTCTTTTTTCTTTTCTTTCTTTCTTTCCTTTCTTTTTCTTTCTTCCTTTCCTTCTTTCCTTTCTTTCTTTTCCTTTCTTTCTTTCTTTCTTTCTTTCTTTCTTTCTTTCTTTCTTTCTTTCTTTCCTTCTTTCCTTCTTTCCTTTCTTTTTCTTTCTTTCTCTTTTCTTTCTTTCCTTTCCTTTCTTTTTCTTTCTTTCCTTCTTTCCTTTCTTTTTCTTTTTTTTTCTTTCCTTCCTTCCTTCCTTCCTTCTTTCCTTCCTTCCTTCCCTTTCTATTTCCTTTCTTTCCTTCCTTTTCTTCCTTCCTTTCTCTTTCTTTCTTTCTTTCTTTCTTTCTTTCTTTCTTTCTTTCTTTCTTTCTTTCTTTCTTT